TGCTTTGCTTCTGCACAATCACTAGTCCCTGTTCAACCTAGGATGTAAACACTCGGGCCGAGTCTTTCCTTTGGTTCTCCATTTTTCTCATGAGGGCACCCATGTGCATATAAAGAAGATTCGTATGCTTTTCTCTCGTTCATCTATCTTTTTCTTTTAAGTTTTATTTAAGTAAACTCTATACCCAACGTGGGGCTCAAACTCATGACCCCGAGATCAGGAGTCACATGCTCTTCTGACTGAGCCAGCTCTAGGCTCCCGCTCCTGTTCATCTATCTTCTGTCAGTCCCAGTTGGAAACTCTTAAGACAGTAAGGGAAGGGGCTCCTGGGCGGCTCAATCGGTCGAGCGTCTGACTTCAGCTCAGGTCACCATCTCACGGTTCTGCATCAGGCTTTGCACTGTTGATGCAGGGCCTGCTTGGGGGTCTCCTCTCTCTCTCTCTCTCTCTCTCCTGACCCTTCCCCGCTCATGCTCCCTCTCTCTCTCTCAAAAAAAAAAAAAAAAAAAAAAAAAAGACAGTAATGAAAACCTTTTCCTCCCATAGGTATTAAATGGCGTTTTTACTTGAAAGAAAGACAAACTATGGTTATTGAGCCTTTGGTATTGGGCAGGCATTTCTCTAAAAGTGGATGAAGTTAGCCCATCGCTTCAAGGAAAACTGACAGCATTTGTTGCCTGTGATAGAATTAAAGCTTTCAAGAAAAAAGTTAGAATTTGGGGAAACTTAAATCCATTAATATGGGCATATGCATGTTCTTATACAAAATAATTTATTTATAGCAGTGAAAATGAAATCAACTATAGCCACACACAACACTTCTAATACTTAAAGACTTTTCTGATGTTAGTGATAATAGTGTATATTATATATGTACTGATTTAATATATTTGTACTATATATATTAGTGTATATTATATATGTACTGAATATAATATCAACATTTGGAAGATACATAGTATTTCCAAATAACCAGTGCATGTCAGGAAAACATTCATGGGAGAAGAGCCATTCGAACTATAAGACAGACCAGTAGACTTTTATTTAAAGAGTACAGGGGTGCCTGGCTGGCTCAGTTGGTAGAGTGAGTGGCTCTTGATCTCAGGATCATGAGTTCAAGCCCCATGTTGCATGTAGAGATTGCTTAAATAATTAAACTCAAATAATATCAAATAAAATAGTAAAGTTCATTGATAGGGTTTCAGATTTCACATCGCAATCGCAGAAGCGTCTACCACTTGTCAAGTCTGGTGTCATATCAAAAAAAATATCCACATGATATGTAGATATGAAATGAAAAGGCTATTAGCATCCTCCCTCTTACAGTTACCTATCTGAGTTCTTCATATGCTTCAACTAAAGCAAATTGCAGGGGCACCTGGGTGGTTCAGTCGATTAAGCGTCAGACTTTGGCTCAGGTCATGATCCGATGTTCATGAGTTCGAGCTGAGCATCGGGCCCACTTTGGATCCTTGGCCCCCCCCACCCCCCCACCTTTCTGCCCCTGTCCTGCTTGCTCTTTCTTTCTTAAAAGCAAATAAACATTTTTTTTTCAACGTTTATTTATTTTTGGGACAGAGAGAGACAGAGCATGAACAGGGGAGGGGCAGAGAGAGAGGGAGACACAGAATCGGAAACAGGCTCCAGGCTCTGAGCCATCAGCCCAGAGCCCGACGTGGGGCTCGAACTCACAGACCGCGAGATCGTGACCTGGCTGAAGTCGAACGCTTAACCGACTGCGCCACCCAGGCGCCCCTCCCCAGTAATTTTTAAGAGTGTAAAGGGAGGTTGACTAAAAAGTTTGAAAACCTCTGCTCGGGAAAAACTCTTGCCCATGTGTCCCAGGAGACACATACAAGAATATTCACACTGTTTCTATCATAGCTGGAAACCGAACATAGTCCTAATGCCTATCAGCAGGACGAATAAATATATTGTGATATAGTCATACATAATAGTATGTAGCAGCGAAAATAATAAACTCAACCTTTGGTATTGAGCCTTTGGTATTGGGCAGACATACCAAAGGCGCCTGGGTGGCTCATTTGGCTGAGCGTCTGACTTCAGCTCAGGTCATGATCTCATGGTTCGTGATTTCAAGTCCTGCGTTGAGCTGGCCGCTATCCGCATAAAGCCGTCTTCAGATCCTCTGTCCCCCCTCCTTGCCCCTCTCTCGCTCAAGCTCCCTCAAATATAAATATAAACATTAAAAAAAGAAAGAAAGAAAGAAAATGATCAATGATCAATAGTTATACACAAGAACATGGATGCATCACAAGAAGATAATGTAGAGGAGAAAAAACAAGTAACAACTTACTACAGTATGAGTCTACTCATATAAAGTTCAAAAATATGAAAGGCCAAACAATAAAGTATTCAGGAACACAAGCAAGTGTGAGTAAAGATCAGAAAGCACCACTGCATACCTACCAGAAAGAAGACTACCAAATTTATAGAAGGTGGGGGCAACTGGAACCCTCATATTTTTCGTTGGATTGTAAAACGGTACCGCCACTTGGAAAAAAGTGTGGTGATTTCTCAGAGGTAACGTACAAACCCCTACAATTCCCTTCTGCATGTTCCCCCAAGAGAACCAAAATATGTGTCCACAAACAGACTTGTACAAAAATGTTAATGGCAGCTTTATTCATTATAACTCCATGCTGGAAACAGCTCAGAAATCCATCCATACGGGGCGCCTGGGTGCTCAGTCAGTTAAGCGTCCAGCTTCAGCTCAGGTCATGATCTGGAAGTTTGCGGGTTCCAGCCCCACATCAGGCTCTGGGCTGACTGACGGCTCAGAGCCTGGAGCCTGCTTCGAATTCTGTGTCTCCCTCTCTCTCGCTGCCCCTCCCCACTCGTTCTTTGTCTCTCTCTCTCTCTCTCTCTCTCTCTCGAAAATAAATAAAAACATTTTAAAAATTAAAAAAAGAAAAGGGTGGGGGGCGCCTGGGTGGCTCAGCATCCTGATCTCACATCTTGTGAGTTTGAGCCTCGGGTTGGGCTCTGTTGCTGACAGCCTGGAGCCTACTTTGGATTCTGTGTCTCCGTCTCTCTCTGCCCCTCCCCTGCTCACGCTCTGCCTCTCTCTCTCTCTCTCAAAAATAAACATTTAAAAATAAGTCAATCAATAAAATAAAATAAAATAAAATAAAATAAAATAACAAAGAAATCCATCCGTAAAAGAATGGATGAACCAACTATGGTAGACTCGTAAATGGGACACACTCAGCAACGATATGGACAAATCGCAAAAGCGCTGTGCTGAGTTCAAGAAGCCACACTACGACTGCAAACCGTATGTCTCCACTGATGCGAAGTTGCCTACAGGCAAAACCAATCTGTGATGGAAAACAAACCAGAAGAGAGCGATGGCCTGCGCAGGGGTGGGTTCAGAGGGCGACTGGGAGGGGTCAGGAGGGCCCTTTCCGGAGTGATGGTAAAGTTCTGTATACCTTGAGAGGGGTTCAGGTTGCCCGGATGTGGGCGTTTGCCGCGACCCAGACCCTGACGATCTGTGTGCTTCACTGAATGTAAATTATATCGCAAGAAGGGATTTAAAAACAACAACAACAACAACAACAACAAACCTCTAGAGAAATATTGATCTTTAGTTATTATTTTTTTTACGTATATTTGTTTTTGAGACAGAGAGAGACAGAGCATGAACGGGGGAGGGTCAGAGAGAGAGGGAGACACAGAATCAGAAGCAGGCTCCAGGCTCTGAGCCGTCAGCACAGAGCCCGACGCGGGGCTCGAACTCACGGACTGCCAGATCGTGACCTGAGCCGAAGTCGGCTGCTTAACCGACTGAGCCACCCAGGCGCCCCTTGATCTTCAGTTATGGATATGTTTGCCGAAGTATTTAGAGGAAAATGACCCTAATTTATTTTGAAATGAATAAAAAAACCCAATGTGGATGGGTGACTAGAGGGCTGAGTAGACAGCAGATAAAATGAGTATGGAGGACGGGCAGTGATGGGATCTAGGTGGTGGGTATGTAAACATTCGTGTGAAATTCTCTCCAATTGCTGCATATTTGAAATTTTCAATAAACAAAGGGGGAAAAAAACCAAGCAGTGAGAACTTAAGAACAGAAAGCAAGGGAGTAAGGATTCGTTCTTGTTTGGGGAGAGAGTGCTTTGTGATTAGGGCAGGGCCCACAGGGCTCTGAGGTTATTGGACAGGATCTATTTTTAAACTGGGGACATGGACACATGGGAATTTGTTTCATTGGTTTTAAAATTATACATGTATGTTCTTCAGAGTTATGTATATTTAGAGTACTTTACAGGGGCTGGGGGGTTGCTAAGCTGGAACAGCCTGCTATCATTCCCCCTCCTCTGACCCCATGTGGACAAGGCCTGGTCTCAGCGACAGGGACAAGCCCCTGTGGGGGACACAGAGAGACCAGCTGGGGCATTCTCCTGTCATGTGTAGCTTTTAGCCCTTGAGTGTCGATGTTCCGTTTGTATGTAGCCATACCTTCTTTAGACGAACCACTAACCACCCACCAGCTCACTCTGGAAACGAACCACTAACCACCCACCAGCCCACTCTGGAAACGTGGGGAGGCCTCCATCTCTAGTGTTCTCTGGCCCCAGGCAGCCTCCATTACATTCCTTTCCTGCGATCGCAACACTGATAGAGCAAGAAAGAATTTTGCTGCTTGCTGCTGAGGTTGTTAAACTAGGAGGGTGTGAATATGGGGCTGCCAGTTGCCATCCTTCCCACGGTGAGAAGAGCCTAGCTGAGCTTGGAGCCAGTGTACAGAGATGAATAGGAGGGACCGAGCCTTAATGGTATCATCCGGTCTCCTGGATCCAGCCATTCCTGAGACACGATCAGTTATGTGAGCCAATATATTCCCCTTTTGCTTCAACCAGTCTTATTTGGGTGTCTTTCACTTGCGACCAGGAACCCTAACTATCAGCTGTCAAAATACGAGCTGCCATTTCTGGGTCTGCGACCCTCCACCCCCAGCCACCAGCCCCACTCACTCGGTGATCTCCTCTAAGGCTGCCTCGGGTAGGGCCAGCATCTCCACCATCAGGGACAGGATCTCAAAGAGCAGAGTGTGGGGGTTGGGGGGAGCCGTGTCCGTCAGGGCGCTCTGTTCTGGGGACATGGGATGATGTCTGCCGTTACCATCTGGCAGCTCCGGAGACCCACCCTCCACCGGCCTCCAGGCCCCTCCCCGAACTCTCGCTGCTCTGGGCTCATCCCTGCTCACCCACGGAGGAGAAGAAACGCCCGCTGTCTGTCATCACAGCCAAGAAGTCCTTGAAGCCTACACGACCATCTCCTGTGGAGGCCAGAGGTACAACAGTGGGCGGGTCCCAGGCATTGCAGCCCAGGCGTGCTTACTGGCATCTACTCAATGGGTCTGATGATAAAACACGTATACGGCACACACTGAACACATATATCACATGTATTCAATGCATATATCTGTGGAGCAGACGGGAAAGTGGAAGGCGAAAATTAAAATCTCCTGCGTGGGAAGCTCCCAGAACTTGGGTCCTAGAGATAGCAGCCTGGATTCACATCCCCAGTCCACCACTTGCTATCTTTGCAGCCTTCACAAAGTCTCTGAACCCCCCCCCCCCCAAGCCTTAGTTTTCTCATCTATAGTCATCCCTGTATCATGGATGATCACGCGAGGCAAAGTGTTTAGAACAGGGCCATGCATCTCTTACGAGCTCACTAAATGTCAGTGACTGTTATTATCACCATGTGCCAGTCACTGCACGAAAATTATGCACCCACAAGAGTCCCACCTCGGCCTTCAAGGCCCAGTTACCTGTCTCTGGCCTCACCTGGTGCCAAGCGCCTCCGGCACGAGCCTGTTCTTCCACGGGGGGCCACGTTCCCTGTTCTGGGCCTTTGCACATGCTGCTTCCTCTTCCCGAATCCTCTCTACTGTCCTCCAACTCCCTCACTTAGTAAGCATCCTACGTGTGCTTCTGCCTGACTAACACCTGACCGAGTCAGCTGCCCCATTAACCACTCTCATAAATTTAATGGAGGTTCTGGAAGGCAGGGACTGGGTCTGTGTTGTTCTGCGCTGTACGCCCAGGACTTAAGACAGGTAGGTCTTGGGGGTGCCTGGCTGGCTCAGTTGGAGGAACGTGAGGCTTAGTCTTAAGGTTGTGAGTTCAAGCCCCACGTTGGGTTGTAGAGATTACTTAAATGAATAAAATTAAAAAAAAAAAACAAACAAGACAGCAGATGTTCTCTGAACTACTAGACAAATGAATGAATGGTCTCTAATCTTGAAAACCACCCTCTGGAGGTGCTTAATACTCTTATCCCCATGTCACAGATAAAGCCTGAGGCACGGAGAGTAGAAAGCAGTTGCCAGAGGGTCACATAGGGGCAGAACTGGGGTCAATTCCTGGCTTGTGTGTGTGGATTCGCCCTTGTACAGTGATGGAGGAAACACAGGAGGCCAGGTAGTGGCCAGGACCCCAGGACCCTTACAGCTTCACTGCTCCCCGTGTCGTGCATCTAGCCAATCAAACCACGTGTGATTCCCCTGACCCCCCCCCCATTCCTCTTCCCTTTGTCTACGTTATTTCCACCACCAGGAATGCCCTTCTTCCTTTTCTCCCCACCTAACCCCTGTCTAATCTTTCACAATTTGCCTCAGGCATCACCTCCTCCAGGAAGCCTTCCTCCCTGATCCCTTCCTCCAAGCCACCTTAAGTACTTCTTCCTTTGATGACTCCTACTTCTGTGTCCCTGTCTAGGTGAGCACCTCAAGGGCAGGTCTCATGGGTCTTACACATCCCTTTATTCTCACTGCCCAGCACGGGAATGGGCACACAGTGAGCATTGAATAAATATTTGGTGGATGAATAGTACCAGCAGGCTAACGTCTCCTGGACGCGTCCTGTGCACCAGGCCTTGTGCTCAATGCTTTGCCTGGATCGTCTCATTTGCTTTTCAGTAGCCTGGTGAGATGGGTACTACTATCAGACCCATTTTACAGCAACAGGCGTGGTGAGCTTGTTCAAGATCACACAGCTGGTCAAAGGAGCGACCAAGTGGGGAGAATGTCCTGTGAAGCACACGTGAGGGCCTAAAAGGGAGGAGTCTGAGGAATCACCTACGTCCTGGGGTCAGAAGGTAGGTCGCGGTCATCTCTGGGTCCCCAGGACCTGGCACTGAGTGGGTGCTCAGAGAGCAGTAACCGTGGGGGCCGGGACCAGCTACATAACTTGTGGGCCCCAGTGCAAAATGAAAACGCAGGGTGGGGCCCCTCACTCAAAAATTACGAAGAGTTTCCAGACTGTGACAGCAGACCATTAAACTGCGCACAGGGCCCTTTGAGCGCGGGGCCCTATGTGACCATGAAGGTCCCACGTGGCTGGTCCTCAGGCCTGGGACTGAGAATGACGCCTCCCCCCACTCACCATCAACATCAGCACTCATCAGGGCGTCCTCTACCTGGGCCGGTGTCAGGGAGATGCCCACGAGCAATAGGATGTTCTCCAGGCTCTGGGCGTCCACCTCGCCATGGCCATTGAAGACCTCAAAGTAGCTGCGGAAGGCTGGGGGGGGGGGGGGGGCGCCGCGGGGTCACGTGAGGCAGGGACATTGCTTGTTGCTACCATTCATCCCACCCCTTCCAACCACCCTCCTGCCCCGGCATCCTTTAACACCATGGCTGGGAGGAGGGGCAAAGGTCACTAAAAGGACGACAGTGGAAGGCGCAGTCCCACTCACGCACTCTACTCACTCTACTCTCTATTACAAGGTCAGGCCAAGGGTTCAGCTGGTGCACCAAATGCTAACCTCCTTAGCGATCTTCATTTTGTACCAGGAGGGCACACGCCCTATTGAGGGCACCCCTGCTATGTGCCAGGCACCGTGCTGGGCTCTTTACGGCCGTGTTCTCATATTAAATTCTTATGACAACCTCTAAGAGTCGAATGCGTGTTCCTTTTGTAAAGATAGGGAAACTGAGGCTTAGAGACTAGCCAGGCAGGTCTTTCTGACTCTTTGGCTTTGGTGCTGTGTGGTCAATTATCTGCACGGACGAGGCTTCTAGGATAGCTTGTCTGGACCAGAGCAGAGGGCTGGAAGCACACTGAGAAAATTCCAGAAAAGCACCAACTGATACCAAAGCCACGGCCTGGTCATAACGTGAGAGTGCCTGGCTTCTCAGCCCTCTCGTTACGGCAAAATGCAGGGAGAGTCAACAGACCTAGAGAGACAGCTGGTTCCACCAGTTGACAATAAGCCGCGTTGCCCTCATGGGCTAATTGCATCCCACCCAGATTCCTCTGTTGCAGCCCTAGTCCCCACTACCTTAGCATGTGACTGCATTAGAGACAGGGCCTTTAAAGAGGTGGTTAAGTTAAATTAAAAAAAAAATTTTTTTTTTTACTTTAATGTTTGTTTATTTTTGAGGGAGAGAGAGACAGAGTGTGAACAGGGGAGGGGCAGAGAGAGAGGGAGACACAGAATTAAGAGCAGGCTCCAGGTTCTGAGCTGTCAGCACGGAGCCCGACGCGGGGCTCAAACCCACGAACTGTGAGATCATGACCTGAGCTGAAGTCAGACGCCCAACGACTGAGCCACCGAGGTGCCCCTTTAAATTTTTTCTTTGTTCGTTTTGTTTTAGATAGAGAGCGCGCAAGCAGGGGAGAGGGGTAGAAGGAGAGAGAGAGAGAATATCTTAAGCAGACTCTGAAGTTGTCAGCACAGAGCCCGACGTGGGGCTCGAACTCCCAAGAGTGAGTTCACATGACCTGAGTCAAAGCCAGATGCTTAACCGACTGAGCCACTCAGGTGCCCCTGGAGGCGGTTAAGTTAAAATGTGACAGTAGCATGGGTCCTGATCCAATGTGACGAGTGTCCTTACAAGGAAAGGAAATGTGGGAAGAGACACCAGGGATGAGTGTGCACAGAGGGAGGACCACACGAGGACACAAGGAGAGGCGGCCACCTGCAAGCCAAGGAGAGAGGCCTCAGAAGACACCAAATCTGCCAACACCTTGATCTTGGACTTCTAACCTTGAGAGCTGTGAGAAATAAATGCTCAGCCACACAGTTTGGGATACTCTGTTGTGGCGGCCCAAGCAAACTCTACAATTGCCGTGGGTGAGTCGCTGTACTTCTCTGAGCCTCGATGTTCCTATCTGTGAGATGGACAGAACAGTGCCTCTTCTGAGAGCAGTTGTGTTAACTCAGTGCCTGGCACATGATAGACCCTGAAGTCTGGCGCATAGAACAGACCCCAGGAAGGGGTCACGGGGAGCCAGAGAGCACTTTCGGGGAAGCTAGAAGGGGCCACGGCCGGCCACGGCTGACGGAGAGGTCACAGACTTGGGAGAGGAGAGAAGGGCGGAAGGAGGACATCCGTGTGCCCTCCTGGGGCTGGGGTGGGGTGCGGCGGGGCTGCCCTCACCTTCCTCCTGCTTCAGGGTGAGGTGCTCCTCCGACCTCTCCTCCCGGGTCTGAGACAGCTTGAGGAGGCCGCGCTCCTCCAGCTCCTGCCTGCAGAGGACGGACCGGGGCAGGGGCACATGTCCAGCCACCCTCCCTGGCCCGGAGCCTCCCCCAGGAAGCTAGGGGAGGGTGAGGGGGAAGCGGGGGACAGGGGAGGGCACCGGGAAGACGCTTGGGAAGTCAAGAGAGTCTCTCAGAGTGACCCCCGGTGAGGAGGCGGCAGGGGTGAGGGGCCATGAGGGGAAGGGACACACTGTGGGAGGGTTAGGAAGGGAAAAGCTGTCAGAGATGGGGGGAAAAAAGACCTAGGTGTGGGGGAGGGAGGGGACCGGAAGCGAGGAGAAACGGAGAGAGGACACCCGAGCAGGAACAGGTGCAGTGACAGGGACACTGGGACACGGGCTGCGACCTTGGGCGCCCTTTGCGGGGTGGCTCCTACCGTGCCTTGGAGCTGCTCAGGCTCCTGTCTCCGCTCGGGTGCAGGAGTTCTGTCCTTCTCCAGCCCGCGTCCAGGGTGGGGGGCGGCAGGGCCACCGCGGGCCCTGGGACCGGGGTGCCCCCAGGGGCGGGGATTGGCCCGGGGGCTGGCCACCGGGCCCAGGATGGGGCCATCACAGGGGCCGGCGCGGGGGTCTGAGGCAGGGTCAGAAGCAGGCTGGGGGCTGAGCTGGGCACAGGGGTCAGGGTCCTGGGGGACTTCCGGTTTGGCAGGGCCCGGGCCTTGGCCGTCGCCCTCCGATGTGTGGCCTCCGCCTCTTCCACCTCCAGCAAGCACTTCATGAAGCCTTGCCGAAGGTTCCCGAGGTTCTGGGCCCCGGCGGCCACCGTGGGCGCCTGAGGCTGCTTCTGCACGGGATCCAGGTCCCTCCTCTCTCCAGTGTCCCTCATCTCCTGGGGACAGGACACGGGAAGGGACCCGGGAGGCCTCCCGCCAGCCAGACTGTCCCACCCGAGCTTTTCCTGCCACTCGCGCTCCGGGCCCTGGTCTGCCTCTTTCCTCCATAACTGCCCGGGACGACGCATGCGAGGCGCCTAATAAATGCCCACTCATTCGTCCGGCAAATCCAGCCACCTCCTGCGTCTGTCCCTCCCAATACAGGGATGGGCCGTCCCCAGTCCACCTCCAGCCCCCAGGCCATGCCGCACAGACTCCTGGGCCGTTTCTCCCGGATGAGACACAGGGCTTGCCTCACACCCTGTCCCTGAGGGTATCGGCTCTGCTTCGTCCGTTATTATCTTCCTAAAAAAAATCTCCCCCCTGACCAACCCCTCCAGCTACCAGCCCAGGGCTCTGCTCCTCTTTCCAAGCTCCAGAGTACAAGGGCATCCTCTGACCACCACCCCCCCCCCAAGACGCACACACACGCCTACGTGCAAACACACACGCATGCGTGTGCCTCCACGTACACACTCACACTTACGCCTTCCCCAGCTGGACTCCAAATACCACAGCCCCTCCTTCCTCTTCCTGCCCACCTGTGCCCTCCCCACCCCCCACTCTGGGTCTACTTACTGGTGGAGGAACAGGCCCTGGTGTTGGCTGGGTCTCCACCCCCTCGACCCTAAACAAGGGAGAGACCCCGGGATGGCAGAGGGGCTCAGCTCAAGGCTTGTCCTTTGCGCCGACCGTCCCTCCGCCCCCAGGACACTCAGATGGGGCCCCTCATTCCCTCACATCCCCACGTGAGGACAAGGCCCTTACAGCACAGGTTTGCAGCACAAAGAATTCTGGTGTCAGAGCTATCATACAGATGGGGAAACTGAAGCCCAGAGGGGCGTGACTTGCCCGAGGTCCTACATCAGGTCAGGAGGAGTCAGGACTAGAATTCACCTCACCGGTAACTTACCAGAAGCATGTCCTCGTTGGGCCAGGGAGTGGGGTAGGGGATGGCATCAGGGGATGGCTTACCCTCCTTTTGGGGGGTCAGGTCCTGGCGTGGATGGTGGGAAGGAGTTGGCCGTCTTTTCCTCCAGAGTTGCCAGGGGCATTCGGGGCCCTGCCCCCCGAGAACTGTCCTCATGTCCCCCTGGGCCAGGCTCTGGCAGAGCCCCCTGTGGCCTGATACATGGGGTGTCCACCTCCTCGGCGGGCTTGTCTCCCGGTTGCTGCCCACGGCTGTCCGAGGTGCAAAAAGCCTTCACCGGCTGTACTATGTCTTCCCCATTAGCTGCCTGGTGACCTGGGGGAGGCCGCCACTCTGGGTCCTGCCAAGGACAAGGATACCAAAATGAGGAGTCCCATCCTGGCTCCCAGGTGAATTCCACAGTCACCTGGAGACCAGTTATCACAGGCTTAGTCTCATCCAGGCACTGCAAGCGTCCTCTTACTGCGTGCTCCCAGCACCCCTAGAAAGCAGCACAGATTCTCGTGTTCAGGGATGAAACGCTGGGGCCCGTAGGAGTCATGGCCCACCCAAAGTCATAGGAATAGAAGGGGAACTTGGAGGAAGTGAGGCAGTTCCCTTTAAATAGGGTTTCCCGAGGAGGGTTCAGAGTACAAGAATCCCTAAAAAAGGAGTTTTACGTCAACTGACACAGGACTTATTATAAAGTGACTTATGATCAACACAGTGTGATACCGGAATGAGGACAGAGAGATAAATGGAACAAAGAGAGTCCAGAAATAGGCTTCCACATGCACGTTCAACTGGTTTGCCACGAAGGTACAAACCCAGTGTGGAAAGGAGTCTTCAGTAAATGGCGCTGGAATGGATGGATGGCCACACGCAAAAAACTGAACCACTATCTAACACGCATGCACGCACGCGCAAGGATTAACTCAAAACGGATCCTAAAATGTAAATGTTAAGCCTGACATGAAAAAATTCTTGAAGAAAACATAGGAGAACTTCTGATGTGACCTTGGGTTAAGCAAAGATGTCTAAGAAACAACACCAAAAAATCAAGCCCTAACGAAAATATTGATACATTCGGCCTTATCAGAATTCAGAACTTCTGTTCTTTGAAAGTCACTGGTAAGAGAATGGAAAAGACAAGACACAGACTGGGGGAAAGACATTCGCCAATCACACATCTGATAAAGGACTTGTGTTCAGAATATATAAGAACTCTCCAAACTCAATCAGAAGAAAAGAATCTGATTTTTTTTTAAAGGCAGTATGTGAAAGGACAATGCACAAAATGGAAGGAAAAAAGTGTGTAAATCGTTTGTGTCATAAGAGTTTAGTATCCACCATATATAAAGAACTCCTACAACTCAACAATAAGATGACTAGTCCGATGAAAACAACGGGCAAAGCATTTGAATAGACATTTCTCCAAAGAAGATATACGGATGGCCTAGAAGCGCATTTACAAATGGTCAGCATCGTTAGTCATTAGGAACATGCAAACCCAGGCCACCATGAGAGTCCACGAGGCACCTATCAGAACACTTAAAATTAAAGACCAGCCCGGGGCGCCTGGGTGGCACAGTCGGTTAAGCGTCCGACTTCAGCCAGGTCACGATCTCGCGGTCCGGGAGTTCGAGCCCCGCGTCGGGCTCTGGGCTGATGGCTCAGAGCCTGGAGCCTGTTTAAGGGGCCTGGGGAAATTTTAGTGGGGGGGGGAGGTGACAGATAAGGTTTGCTTTCTTGATTGTGGTGCTGGCTTCATGTGCACCAAAACATCAAGTTGTACAGTTGGAGTATGTGCGAGCGTGTGTCCATTATACCTCACTGAAGCTCTAAGGAAATAATCTTAAAATGAAAATAAGTGAAAAGGTATTTTGTAGTCAAATGAGTTCGAAAAAGGCACCGCGCTCTAGCCGTCTCCTGCGAGGTCCCACAAAAGCTCGGCCGCTAAGAAGCAGCTTCTAGGATATCCTAGCGTGAAGAAAACTTTGTCTGAGCTTTTTAAATCCAACATGTGCCCGTTCTTATCCTACACGTAACCCCCAAGTCCTCCCTGCCTCCATCGCCCCTTGACATACTGTGGGGCCACTCCGGAAACAGGTTGTAAAGGCTTGCCGTGGGCGATCAAGAATATCCAGAATATTCCAGTGACCCACACAGACTGGGCACTCGACATCGCCAGGGCACAGAGAGGAGCAGACACGAAATGGGGGGGCCCCGGGAGGCTCCTTGGTCTCCCCCAGAGAGCAGCCATTCTGTGCCCTCCTGTCACATCTCCGTGGACATTACCTGGTGGCTCTCGGGGGCTTGACCCTCCACCATCCCTGGGTTCTGATGTCTCCCCGCTTGGTCCTCGGTCTCCTTCCCTGAGCCCTGTTGCTGCTGCCCTTCCTGTGCCGCGGGGACCCTGGAAGGCAGCACCCCCAGCTCACTTCCTGGCTTGGCCTGATCACGGCCTCCTTGCCGCAATCCGGGCCCTTGCTGGGGTGCCGGGGTTGACTGCTTCTTCCTGGGGAGAACGACAAAGCGACACCTCAGCTCCTGGATTGGGCCATCGTTTTATATTCTTAGACTCCTTTGTATTTCCCAGAGCGCCCGTGCAGGACTAGGCACACCAGAGGTGCATACTTAATGCTGGAGAGAATGAATGGAGGACTGACATGAATTCCCCAAATCCCAGATACTATGATCTCAATGTTTCGGGGCGTTAGGATTTTATTATTGTTGTTGTTCAGAATAAAAAGAAACATCAGGGGTGCCTGGCTGGCTCAGCCGGTGGAGCATGTGACTCTTGATCTCAGGGTTGTGAGTTCGAGCCCCACCTTGGGTGTAGCGGTTACTTAAAAAATAAAAGAATCTTTAAAAAAAAAAAAAGAAAGAAAGAAAAGAAAAAAAGAAAAATCAGAGAGAAGAGAGATTGAGGGGCTTGAAGGCTTGAGCCTAGGCCCATAAAGCTGAAGGAGACAGCTCAGGGTTTCAGTCTGTGCCCGGTCTGATGTCACTTTCATGTTCTGGAGTATTTCCCCAGGCTTCTTCCCATGGATGTAACATGTGTGTTTCTCATGGGGATTTAGTTCATTACCATCTTCAAACAATTGCCTAATTTTACACAGTTACGATTACGTCGTGTGTACAGCTTTGCCATCTTTTTTCAATGATCGTTTTAACCTAATTTTTTTCCGTGCCAAAACATCTCTCATACACATGCCTTTTAAGTGGAAGTAGAAAATTTCATATTCGATAAATAAGCATATTCGACTTTACCGTTCCTCTGTAGTGGGTATTTAGGGCATACTGGCATTTCCAGCATTTTTAGCATTTAAAATGACGCGGCAGAGGGAAAAAACTTGCCTAAAACTTTGCCCGCGTCGCAATTATTTCCTCAGGGTGTATTTCTAGACATGGATGAAGGTAAAGGTATTTTTAAGGCCGTTGAAACAAATGGCCAAGTTGTTGAACAGATGTGTTGAAATGGTTTCTATTTCTACCGGTTCCCATCTGGGCGGAGGGGGGCTCCGACCTAGCTTTGCTTCATTTCCCTAATTTTCCATGTAGAAGAGATTATTCAGAGGCTTTTGGTTATAAGCAAATTAAAACGATACGCTGACTAGTCTGAACTATTCCTATTTCTCAAATCTTTTCCTTTTTGCTTCTGTCTGTTTCTCTTTCACTTTCCTCTTTTGAAAAAGATTACACTCTGGGGCTCCTGACTGGCTCAGTCGGTGGAGCATGGGACTCTTGATCTCAGGGTTCTGAGTTTGAGCCCCACGTTGGGTGTAGAGATGACTTAAAAATAAAATCTTTAAAATATAAGAGTCTCATACTCTGGTTTCTTTTCAGATCGTATAAAGCTTTTGCCTTTTAAAATAGGAGTCTTGGGGCACCCGGGTGGCTCAGTCGGTTGAGCGACGGACTTCGGCTCAGGTCATGATCTCACGGTCTGTGAGTTCGAGCCCGGCTCCAGGCTCTGTGCTGACAGCTCAGAGCCTGGAGCCTGCTTCAGATTCTGTGTCTCCCTCTCTCTCTGACCGCCCCCCCCCTCCCCGTTCATGCTCTGTCTCTTTCTGTCTCAAAAATAAACATTAAAAAATTTTTTTTAAATATGAGTCTTGCTGTAGACAAGGTAAAAATACAATATATAGAAAATAGTCACAAGAATGCCATGTAAATGTGTGTTTCTGAGTCTCAGCCTCTCTTTTGTTCAGTCTTCCATTAATTCGGTGAACACATGTTTATTGAACATTTACTAAGTGCCAGGCACAGTCCCAGGCATGAGGGGTTTGAAGCAGAGCAGGACACATAAAAGAAGCTTGTGGTCCAGTGGGTCTAGAAGCCAGTGCAGATGGAAGGTTCGGGAGCAATGATGTAGCGGGATTTGTGCCCCCCGTGAGAGAGAAGATTAAGGGCGTATTTGCCTTAGGCTGGGAGTCCTGCCTCATCCCTGTCCCCTAGGTGGCTCATAGAGTTCTCTCCCGGACCTTCTTTAAGAAGTTCCCAGCTCACCCTGGTTCTGCCGGCCGCCTCTGCTCCTGGGTCCTGAGCTCCCGAAGCCCTTCCTCTGAGGCTGCGCTGTGTTCTGGTCCCTTCTCTGGCCCCCCTGGGGCTGATGAGGGCTGCTTCCCACTGCCCATCCCTGCAGCATCTGGAAACGCAACCTGGAACAGAGATGCCCATGCGCTAGCCCAAGGGTTGGCCACAAGTACCCATTCTGGAGGGCTCCTCCCTCTCCTTGGACATCGTCCAGGCCTCAGGGACAGGGACATCCTGTGCTGACTGCGGAAGGCGCTGCAGAGAGGCAAGGAGGAGGAGGAGGAGGAGGAGGAGGAGAAGGAGGAGAAGGGAGAGGTGCAGGAGAGGGGGAGGGGGAAGGGGAGGGGGAGGAGACAGGGAGCTGGAGAGTGGCTAGGCGTAAGACCTGGCCCAAGCCAGCAGCGCTAAGGGCTCTAGCAGAAACCTACAGTCCGGGGTAGCACCTGAGCCAAGGGAACCCCCGGAGGACAGCCTGACGGAGCCCCCTGGGGGACATCACGACCCTCAGAAGATCCAAGAGAGGCTTCCACAATTTCTGCTACTTCACAGGTCAGGCTCTGGAACCGGATCTCGATGCCCATCTTGGTCTATCAGTCCCTGGCTGAGCCAGTGACTGGAGCCAGCTCCGACCCTCACCTGAGGCAGCAGACTCCAGACGACCTGCCTCAATCACTTGAGGACAGTTGTTCTAATGCAAGGTCGAGCCAACACTGAGGACACCTACGCTCGGGGAGGCAGGGTCTGTGCCCCAGGCAGTGGGGCTCAAAGGGGTGCCATGGCCCGCCCAAGGTCATATGGCTGGTTACATAACCGGACTGAAACCCATGACTTTGTTTGTTGAAAAAAAAAATGAGGGGTAGAGGTGGAGGGAGCCCTGAACGCTTGCCCCAGTCTCCTTCTAAGACCGGCCCCCCTACCTTCAGGCGCTCTCCCTGCCCCCAAGGGAAGCCGTGATTTATAACAGAAGCTACAGGGAGAGGGTAACACTTTACCCAAGGGAATGTTGACTTTTTTTTTTTTTTTTTATGGTGACATTTTTGGCTCTGGGGAAACCAGATGGGAAGGAGGGCTTTGCTTTCTCTGTGCTCTTCAGTTCATGCCCCTTGGCACCTAAAAGAATGGCTGGAAAGAGGCTGAGGGGTATGAGGGAGGCTTAGGATGCAGGCTGAGGGCTGGGAAGGGTCGTGCTGGAAGCCCTGAGCAACTGTCAGGGGACTGGAGGGTCTAAAGGGGGCTGGGGGTCTGGTTTTGCTCACCCAGCATCTATCCTGGTAAGAGAAGCCAGTGGAGTCAAGTGAGTACCACCTCTGGCTCCGTTATACCAAGAGATCCAGGCCACTCTGCTCTGCCACGGTGACTAATTCAGGGATGAGCATGTGACCACGATCTGGGCCAGTCGCAGTGATACCAGAGACTTCCTTCAACTATTGCAGAGAGGTTCTTTCCTGTTGGGGACGCTATGCCAGAGGACGTAAGATGAGAAGATTTTAACCCGAAGTGGCCAGGGCAATCCTTGCCACCTTTCAGGAAGGGCCTGCCTGGGAGCGTCACACTGGAAGGCAGAGCCAACAGACACTCATGTAGCACCTTGATCCAGCCATACCTGAAGCACACCCGTAGATCTGTCATCTACCCAAGCTGATGTAGGGAAAGGTGCCGGCTGGGAATAGCAGGGTCAGAACATGAGGTGCAGGGCCCTACCTGGCTGATTTCTGATATGGTAGGCTCAACACCAGGCCTCTTGCTGATGGTGCTCATGCCAGGACTTGGCTGGGCTTCTGGAGCCTTGATCCTTCCCTCCGTGTGCATCTGGGCGTTTCCGTTGTCCATTGTGCCACAGCCAGTGAGGGTGCCAAGTGAGGGGCATCAGTTGCTGTGGTCCCACAGGAGAAATCCAATCAAAGTTCCACCAAGGTCATTACCTAAGCACTCTTCAGCAGCCCACCTGGAACCTGTGATACAGAGAGCCTGGCTCAAGGGAATAGTCAGGGCCCGGCCCACACCGCAGAGGGATGCAGCGGAAACAGAGAGCTAGCCACACATTCATCCTGATTCTCACAGTAACTCCGAGGAGCAAAGTCACTGGCCCAGGGTCCAATGCCAACTAGGCCACAGAGCAGGAATTAAACCGTGGCCTGTCGGATCCCCAAACACACGCACTTTCTCCTACCCCAGCATTTCCTAATGGGTGCTCTTTGGTCCTAATATTGGTCCCATGAGGTACACCACACACACACACACAAAAAAGAGTTCTGAGGCCAAATGCATTTGGAAAGTGCTGAGTTAAAATAGAATAGGCTCTGGAGCCCCTGGGTGGCTCAGTCGGTTAAGGGTCCGACTTCGGCTCAGGTCACGATCTCGTGGTTCGTGAGTTTGAGCCCCGCGTCAGGCTCTGTGCTGACGGCTCAGAGCCTGGAGCCTGCTTCGGATTCTGTCTCCCTCTCTCTCTGCCCCTCCCCTGCTCACGCTCTGTCTCTCTCTCTCTGTCTCTCAATAATAAATAAACGTTAAATTTTTTTTTTTAAATAGAATAGGCTCTGTGCTGCAGAACTTCTCAGAGCCTTCAATGTGCATGTTAAATATACATTTTAAAGAGTGTCCCAGAATGTCACGGCTGTTGCTGCTATAGATGAAAACTCCAAGTTCTTCTTGGGGTTAAGGAACAAGAGCTGAGAACATCTGTCTCGGGAACCCCAAGGTCTCCAATAGCAACATTTAGTTCGCCAAAGCACCCTCCACCCTGCCCCGGACACATCCCTTTCTAAAGCCTTTCTTGGTGTCTCTCCTGCCTCTCCCACCCAACCTCTTATTAGGCTGTTTCACCACCCCCTACTCAAACATGTTTCAACCTGAGCAGCCCTCCCACAATCCTAATCCCACAGACCCCCAGCCTCTGTGCCCACATCCCACTTCTCTGTCTCCCCAACAACCCCCCCCACCCCCCCACCACCATTCTTCAACCTCCCACCTCTTCTCCAAGCTTCTAGCCACCTCAGCCACCTCCAGCGTCTGGATTCCTCTGAGATAACATTAACACTATTTCTATGGGTGCATCACAGACCCCTTTATACTGTTAACGATTTCTAGGGATAAATCCACCCCCCCCCCCCCAGTGCGACCCTGGGACCTTGAAGATCTTGGTGGTGCTTTCACTTTAAAACAGGGCAGGCCAGCCAACAGACACAGGAGTCTTCTATTTGCTGGGGGCGTTTGCAGGCGGTGCTCTCCTAAGGGCTCTGTGGGATCACTGGGTTCAGCCCTGAGGCTCAGAGGAGCCCCGTGTCTCGTCCAGCGCAACTCAGCTAGTCTGCAGAAGATCTGGATTCAGCCCCAGGCCTGTGCGGCTCCCGGGACCGCGTGTCTCACCGTCTTATCTCGCATCCAAAGAAGCTCAAGCCACTTAACTCGTCTACCTACGTAACCAACAGCTGTTTAACAGACACCTGCCCAAGCTGGGCACGGCACCAGGTCCTGAGGATGCGCTGGCTGTTCTGAAGGCTCTCGCAGCGTACCGGGAGCACAGAGCAGGTGCTCCCAACAGCCACGACCCCCAATCCCCACTCCCTCCTCCTTTCCTCCCACCCCTACCTACACCCCGATCCTTCCTGCAGCTAGGCCTGCGCCCCTACAATGCAGACGAGACCTCCATCCCGTGGGGCGCCCGCCCCAGGCGCAGCGCCCGTCTCCCCAAGGGTCTAGTCTCTCGCTTGGCACAGGGAGGTCAGCGCTGTGACCAAATCCCACCCTCTGCCCTGGAAGTTCCTTGCTCCTCCCAGTCTCTCTCCCATGAGGGCCCCCTGCACATCCCCCTTTCCTCCGGGCATTCCCGCCCCAGGGGTGGATGACCCATCCGGAGGACCGCCCTTCCAGACCCCTCAAACACGCCCCCCATTGTCCCCTGTCTCCACCTCAGAATCCTCAGGCCCCCGGCATTCCACAAGCTGGAATTTTGAGGGGGCAGAGGCTCCAGAGGGGATCCAGCCCCCTCTCCGTCCCCATCTGGGACTTACAAACCCTGTGAGAGTCTGAACGAGGGGACGCCCCCAACCCTAGTAGAAGGGCATGGAATCTGAGGACAGAATTGAGGCAGGTGGGTGGCACATACAGACGACGATGTCCTTTCCGAGAACTTGTACCTTCTGGTTTTGTCCACGGCTTTGTGGCGATTTCATTCACATCCCATACAATTCTCCCACTTATTAATTAATTAATTAGTTTTAAAATTATTTATTTATTTTATTTTTGAGAAAGAGAGAGAGGGAAAGCTGGGAAGGGGCAGAGAGAGAGAGAGAGAGAGAGAGAGAGAGAGAGAGAGAGAGAGAATCCCAAGCAGGCTCCACTCTCACCACACACCCCAACACGGGGCTTGATCCCACAACTGTGAGATCATGACCTGAGCCAGTATTGAGTCACATGCTCAGCTGACTGAGCCCCCCCCCAGGCGCCCCACAGTTCTCGCATTTAAAGTGTGCCATTCAAGGGTGCCTGGGGGGGCTCAGTCGGTTCAGTGTCCGACTCTTGATTTCGGCGCAGGTCATGATCTCCCAGTTCATGAGTTCGAGCCCCACATCGGGCTCTCTGCTGACAGGGCAGAGCCTGCCTGGGATTCTCTCTCTCCCTCTCTGTCTCAAAATAAATAAGTGAACTTAGGGGCGCCTGGGTGGCGCAGTCGGTTAAGCGTCCGACTTCAGCCAGGTCACGATCTCGCGGTCCGTGAGTTCGAGCCCCGCGTCAGGCTCTGGGCTGATGGCTCGGAGCCTGGAGCCTGTTTCCGATTCTGTGTCTCCCTCTTTCTCTGCCCCTCCCCCGTTCATGCTCTGTCTCTCTCTGTCCCAAAAATAAATAAAAAACGTTGAAAAAAAATTAAAAAAAAATAAATAAGTGAACTTAAAAAAAATAAAGTGTACAACTCAGAGGCTTGTAATATATTCACAGAATTGTTTGACCATCACCCCAATATTAGAACAATTTTATCACCCTAAAAAGGAACTCCACTCCCCTTCACCATCACCTCAGTTCTCACACCCCACCCCAGCCCTAGGCAACCACTAATCTACTGTCTGCCTTGCACATATGCCTGTTCTGGACATTTCATATAAATGGACTCATACAATACCTAGTCCCTGGTGACTGGCTTCTTTCACTTGGCAAAATGTTGTCAAGGTTCATTGCCTTTTGTGGCCAACATAATATATTTTGTACAACCACTTATCAATTAATGGACATTTGTGTGTTTCTACTTCTGGGATATTATGAGGAATGCTGCTGTAAACATTCGTGTACACATTTTTGTGCAAATACATGTTTTCATTTCTCTTGAGTATACAGCTAGGAAAGTAATCGCTGGGTTAGAGGCTAACTCTATGTTTAGTTTCTTGGGTAATTGCCAGATGGCTTCCAAGGGGAAGGCATCATTTTACATTCCCAACTGCAGTGTAGGAGGGTTCCAACTCTCCTGTATCCTGACGAACCCTTGTTATTATCTGCCTTTTTGAGTTCTAGCCATCCTAGTGGGTGTGGGTATGAGGCAGAATCTTACTGTGGTTTTGGTTTGTGTTTCCCAGATGGCTGATAAGGTGGAGCACCTTTCTTTCTTTCCATTTACCTATTTACTTTTTTAAAGGATTTTTTGTTGGAGACAGAGAGAGAGAGAGAGAGAGAGAGAGAGAGAGGCAGAGCGCGGGCAGGAAAGGGGAAGAAAGAGAGGGAGACACAGAATCTAAAGCAGGCTCCAGGCTCTGAGCTGTCAGCACAGAGCCCAATGGGGTCTTGAACTCAACAAACTGTGAGATCATGACCCGAGCTGAAGTTGGACACTTAACTAAATGAGCCACCTGGGCGTCCCTAAAAGATTTTATTTTTAAGTAATCTCTAGGCTCAATGAGGGGCTCAAACTCACAGCCTGAGATCAAGAGTCGCATGCTTTTCCGACTGAGCCAGCCAGGTGCCACATAGTGGAGCATCTTTCCATGTGCTTATTGGCTATTCGTGTATCTCCTTGGGGAAAATGTCCACTAGAGTCCATTATTCATGCATAAATTGGATTATTTGTCTTTTTACTATTGAATGGTAAGGGTTCTTTATATATTCTAGATATAAGTCCCTTGTCAGATATATAATTTGCAAGATTATTCTCCCATTATGTGCATTGTATTTTCACTTGTCCTTTGTAGCACAAAAGTTTTAAATTTTATTTAAGTCTTATTTATCTATTTTTTCTTTTTTAAAACTTTTATGTATTTATTTTGAGAGAGAGAGAGAGAGAGAGAGAGAGAGAGGGAGAGAGGGAGAGAATCCCAAGCAGGCTCTATGCTCAGAGCAGGGCCCAATGAAGGGCTTGATTGCAGGACCATGGGATCGAACCACATGAGCTGAAGTCACGAGTCAGATGCTTAACCAATTGAGCCATCTAGGCATCCCTGTCGATTTTTTATTTTGTTGCTTGTGCTTTTCGTGTCATTTTTTTTAAATTTTTTTAACGTTTATTTATTTTTGAGACAGAGAGAGACAGAGCATGAATGGGGGAGGGTCACAGAGAGAGGGAGACACAGAATCTGAAACAGGCTCCAGGTTCTGAGCTGTCAGCACAGAGCCCGATGCGGGGCTCGAACTCACGGACTGCGAGATCATGACCTGAGCCGAAGTCGGATGCTCAACTGACCAAGCCACCCAGGCACCCCTAGTGTCATTTTTTAAAGGTGCTTTTAGTGTCCTTTCTAAGAATCCAGTAGGTTCTTTTTTGATTAGGACATAAACGCAAGGTCATGAAGGTTTAGGTCTATGTTTTCTCTTAAAAGCTGTGTAGTTTTAGCTCTTACACTTAGGCCTGAGACCTATTTTTAATTCCTTTTGTATATCGTGTGAGGTAGGGATCGAACGTCTGCATGTGGGTATCTCAGCACCATTTGTGGGAAAGACGACTGTTTCCCTATTGAATTGTTTTGACACACTTCTAGAAAGTCAACTGACTATACATGTGAGGGGTTATTTCTGGATTCTCAGTTCTACTCCACTGATCTGTGCATCCATCCTTGTTTTGGTACTATGCTGTCTTGATGACTGTAGCTTTGTAGTAAGTCTTGGAACCGGGAAGTGTGAGTTCTCCAACTTTGCTCTTTTTCAAGATTGCGTTGTTACTGAGTGCCCTTTTATAAGTGGTTTCCCCATCTGAGAAATGGGGGAAATTCCTCTGAGAAATGTCTGTGATGGGAGAAAGATACAGCAGAGAAAGATGGTAAGTGACAGGAGGCCACCGAGGACAGCTATCCACATTAAACCCTCACCCTGGCCCGGGACCTACCAGAAAGCAGCTGGGTGAATGAGCAAGATTTTGCTTCCCTGTTCTCTTCCTCATGCTTGGGATGGGCTCTATCTGGGCTTATATATACTCTGCTTGTTGGGTTGAATTGAATGTCTGGTAAATAATGTAATTAACCCGGGAGTTGATGATAGGTCCAATTACCCTCTGCAGCAGAGGTGTTGGGAGGCATTTCAGGAACGTCCAGCTATGAGGCTGGGATCTGAGAATAAGGCAAAAGGGACGGTTGGACTTCCTCCAACCCGAGGACAATGTAGTTGCCCTGGGCTTGTCACTGGTTCAGTGGCCTCCATCACACAATGGAGAGAACAATCCTCACCCTGCCCACCTCGCAGAGATTGTTATGTCCATGTAACATCTTCCGGAGAGCCTTCCCTGACTTCCCAAGGCTGAGTTGGGTCTCTCTGCTCTTGGCGCCCATAGCCCCTGCGAATTCCTCCATCATAGCCCTTCCCACTGTGCACTGTAAATAACTCCTTTTCTCTCTGTCTCCTCTGGTCTGTGAGCTCCACGAAGACAGGAGCTGGGTTGGCTTCATCTCTGTGGCCCCAGCAGCCAGCACCCGCCATAGGGTAGGTGCTCAATCCCCGTCTTTGTTAGACCGAACTGAACTGAACGTGCTCTGAACACATGGTAGGGCCTGGCTTTCCCTGGCATGGATGATGCTTCCCTTCGGGGCTCATGAGAGGAAAGCTTCCTACCTGTCGCGGCCACATGGTGAGGCCACACAGCCACCATGGGCTGCCTTCAAGCTGCTTGGCTTCCAGAGGGGAAGTGATGGAGCTCAGTGCTGATTACAGACACTACCCTGAAGTTCAGCTCTTGAGAGTTCAGCTCTTGAAGTTCAGCTCTTGAGCTCTTGAGGTCCTAGATGCTCTCCCAGCTGGAAGTCCTCTAACCCAATGAGTCTGGGTGCTTTACTCACCCGTTCGCTGAGCACCTACTCTGTGCCAGAACTTGTGCTGCTGAATACAGGGTCCACAGGTGACAGGGACAGGATCCTTCAAGAGGCTCACAGTCTGGTGGGAGAGCAGTCATATAAACCGAATGGTGAGAATGTGAAGGGGTAAGATCGTCAGTGTGGGAGTGCACCCTCCCTGCCCCTCTTCATATCTCTCCCCTCCACCTTTGAAGGGAGTTCTGTCTTTGCCACTCCAGGACTTAAGGGGAATGAGGGACGGGATCAAAGAAGCAGGAGGAAGAAATCTCATTTTCTGGGTCATTTCTCAATTTCCTCTTTGTTGTGGAGAATCAGGGTAATGAGCAAAGTTGAAATTAGAGGGTAAATCAATTCACACAAAGAGAAAATAACTTCACACCCCCCAGGATGGCTGTGATCAAAGAAAGTGGAAAGTAAGTATTGGTAAGGAAGGGGGAAAATCGGAACCCTGTTCATTGCTGGGAGGAACATAAAATGGTGTAGCCACTATGGAAAACAGTTCAGTGGTTCCAGAGAAAGCTCAACATAAAATTACCATATGGCCCAGCAAATCCACCTCCAGATATATATATACTCAAGAGAATTGAAAACAAGGACTCAAACAAATCAGCGTCATTCACAGTAGCCAAATGGTGGAAACAACCCAAATGTCCATCAACAAATAAATGGATACACAAACTGTGAAATGTGCACACCATGGAGTATCATTCAGGCATCAACAGGAATGAAATTCTCATAGATGCTAGGACAGGAAGGAACCTTGAAAACATTATGCTGAGAAATAAACCAAGCACAAAGGCCTGATAACTGTATGATTCCACTTATATGAGGTTTCTAGAATAGGCAAATTCACAGAGACAGAAAGTAGAATAAAGGCCACCAGGGATTGGGGGGAGCGGAGAAATGGGGTGTTATTGCTTAATGGGTACAGAGTTTCTGTTTGGGATGATGAAAAAGGTTCTGGAAATAGTGGTGATAGCTCTATGCAATACCATGAATGTACTTAATTCCACTGAATTGCACACTTAAAGACGGTCAGCATGGTAAAGTTCATGTTATGTATATTTTGCCACAATACGAAAGGTTTTTGTTGTTTTTTAATTTATTGTTGGAGAGAGAGAGAGAGTGCGAGAGCATGGGGGAGGGACAGTGAGAAAGGGAGACAGAGAATCCCAAGTAGGCTAGGTGTCGTCGGCACAGAGTCCCACGCGGGGCTCGAACCCAGGAACCCTGAGACCATGACCGGAGCTGAAATCAAGAGTCGGCCACTCACCGAGTGAGCCACCCAGGCGTCCCTAAAAAAGATCTTTTAAGAGGTTAGATTAATTCTATGATAAAGTACTTGTACAGAGTGAGTAAAAGGAGAGAGAGGGAGGAGAGGGGAGTTGGGGGTGGAGCAAAGCTTTGGTGGAGCAAAGCTCTCCGCATAGGACCTGGCAGGTTGTAAGCACTTACTAAATAATTGTGGAAGAAATGAGAGAATGGTACAGGAGAAGGCGTTTGGAGAATTTGACTATGGTGGGACAATATGTATCCCCGTAACATTCTATGAGAAATTCGAACTAGGACTGGGTTTTTTTTTTTTTTTAACGTTTTTATTTATTTTTGAGACAGAGAAAGACCCAGCATGAACAGGGGAGGGTCAGAGAGAGAGGGAGACACAGAATCTGAAACAGGCTCCAGGCTCTGAGCCGTCAGCACAGATCCCCACGCGGGGCTCGAACTCACAGACCGCGAGATCATGACCTGGGCCAAAGTCACCGACTGAGCCACCCAGGAGCCCCCTCTTTTTTTTTTTTTTATGTTTATTTATTTATTTTGAGAAAGACAGAGAGAGGGAGCAAGTGGGGGAGGGGCAGAGAGAGAGAGAGAGGGAGAGAGAGAATCCTAAGCCGGCTCCATGCTGTCAGTGCAGAGCCCTACCTGGGGCTAGATCCCAGGAACCGTGAGATCACGACTTGAGCCGAAATCAAGAGTCGGAGCCTTAACCCGCCAAGCTACCCAGACACCCCTTTTTAAGGGGGGATTGTTTTTTAATTAGTTATGTTACTAAACTTCGCTCTTTGTTGAGTCTAGGCCACACTGGGCCTCGGGCATGTGGTGGGTTAGAATACGGGTGGAGGGGTCAGGGCATCCCAAGCATCTCTCAAGGAGAAGTAGCCTCAGGGAATCATCTGGAGTCAGGAGAAGGAAGGACACGCAGGAAGAGCAGAGGGAAGAGAGAGGCTTCAGGGTGAACCGTGTAGGTAGATCCAGCCTGGAATCTCAGCCAGCTGGGCCCAGATGTCAGATGGGGATGCCCCACAACCGGAGAGCAGATTGCAGCTGGGTCTGTACCCAAGTTGTCTCGGCTGCCCATTCAGCCTTGCCGGAGCGGGAAGCCGCCCCCGCCCCCGCCCCCGCCCCCGCCCCCGCCCCCACCCCAAGGCTCTTGGACCTCATTGCTTCGGCTCTAGAATCCTTCGGCCGCACGTCTGGAGCCAGAGCGGCCAGCAGAGGGCGCGCGGGAGACAAACGGGCGGAGGACCGCAAGCCGCCGCTCTAGCCTGACCCGGGCCATAGAGTCGCGCCGCTTCCGGCCCCGCTGCTGGGAAGGAGCCGGAAGTCCGGCGGGTTCCGGGCGTCGCGATGGAGGAGGGCGAGTACGAGTCGGTGCTCTGTGTCAAGCCGGAGGTGCACGTCTACCGCATCCCGCCGCGAGCCACCAACCGTGGTTACAGGTGACCGCTCGCCGCCGGCCCCGGCTAACCCCGACTTAACCCCTTCCCCGCCGGCCGACACGCCCACTGGGAAGCCGAGGACTGCCCCGGCGGGTGTAGGGGAGAGGCGGGAGGTAATGCCGCGGCTTCTCCCAGCTCGAGGCCAGAGCAGCAAGAGGGACCCAGACTTTGGGCCGTCTCAGTCCCAAGCACGGGGCTCCCGGCGCGCGGAAGGCGTTAAAGCCGTGTCTAGCCTGTGGGCTGCCGGGTACCCTGAAAGCGGCTGGGAGTGGGGGTTTCACAGGACCTTTTCTTTCAGCGCCAACTGGCCTTGGAGGGAACCTTGAAAAGCCTGAAGGGGGAGGGGTCCTATCGCAGGCGGAAATCCCCAGGGGAAGGAAGGGAGCCGAGAACCGGCCAAAATGACCCGTCCGAGCCGGAAGCGGGGGGCCAAAGCCCGGGGACCCCTCCCTGCCCAGCCCCCTTCCCACCAACCTCAGACCCTGTCACAGCCTGTGGCGGTTGGGAGGAGCCCATCCGCGCGTCTCCGGTGATAAACAGGTGCTTGTAGCGTCAGGAAGGGAACGCAGGACACTGGGGGGTTGGAAGGAGACTTCCTTTCAAGGCATCCTTTTTTTGTACTGTTCGCATTTTGTTACCATGTTGGGTGCGTTGCCTGTGAAAAGAAGCAGAAGAAAAGATGTACCTGTTACAGACCGCCTGATCTGTGGCTATTTTGTGCCACTGGGTTGGGGGTGGGGTCGCTCTTGAAGGCCGTGTTTGTCTAAGTTGTTTGGAGATACAGGATTGGCCTGCACCCCGAGAACGGTGGCGCGTCCGCATCTCTGGCCTCTTGTTACTCTCCAGTTGTGTTAATGCGGACTCGTAGCTGATTTTCTAGAGAACAGATTCTTTTCTTGAACACCTATTACATCCGTGATGTAACTTAAAAAGAGTATGAAAGCAACAATAGGAACGATGACAAAAACATTCACTTTCTGTCGTCGGACTGGAGGTGGGACACCAAACCGGGGATGGTCATCGACTGCGATCCCCTTAAGTAGGATGGACTTTGTCCCTCCTGGTCCCCCAGAGAGTGAGTCTCCCAAGTGTCGGGGCTGGCTGGTGTGGCGTAGAGGAAACTGGCAGTCCCTGCATTTCATCCTCAGAGCTCTGCTGGGCTTGAATCTAAGGCCTGTGTTGCCCCATTAAGAGGAACCGAAACTGAGTCCGCGGACTTGTGAATTGAGAGTCTGCATTTGTGTGGCCAGAAAACAACCTGTTTGCACATTATGGTGTCGCTCAAAGGCCTGACTTCTTCTGCTCAGGGACTTCCAAGAAAAGCCTCTTGGAAACACCCAAGGTTCTTGGTATTTGGGGGTTTTACTGAACTGCTTCTTAGAAATAAAATGTGCAGTTACTGCCTTAAAAGTCCCCCAAGAAGGTCCATGAGGTCCTGTGGTTCTTTCTGCCTGGCACACCTTTGAGATTGTATTTCTTGAACACCCATCCCCTTTTCTCACTCTCCTTTTCTCTTTCTCCTGATGATCGCTCCCTCTTTGCCTTTCTTTGAAGATCGTCTCAGTGGTCCCAAATGGTCACTCCGGCCCGTGCAGCCTGGCAGCGTCTTAAACGGCAGACCCAGTAGCTACTTCTTTTACAGCAAGAAAACTGGAGGGACGCTTGGGTGGCTCAGTCGGTTAAGTGCCTACCTTCAGCTCAGGTCATGATCTCACGGTTCAGTTCGAGTCCCGCATCCAGATCTCTGCTGTCTGCGCGGAACCCACTTCAGACCCCCTGTCCCCTTCTCTGCCACTCCCCTGCTGGCTTTCTCTCCCTCTCTCTCTCTCTCTCCCTCTCTCCCCCCCCCAAAAAAAAATAAATAAACACTTAAAAAAAAAAAGAAAGAAACTTGCAAAGTCCTACTTCAGAGAAGTTCTCTGTAGTCTAGAATTGGGGTGGGCAAAGTGCGACTCACTGTGTTTCCGAATGTCTCACAAGCTGAGAATGGTTTTTACATTTTTAAATAGTTGGAGGACATTTAAAGAAAAAAATATTTCTTAATTGAAAATTATACGAGGGGCGCCTGGGTGGCTCAGTCGGTTAAGCGTCCGACTTCAGCTCAGGTCCTGATCTCGCGGTTTGTGAGTTCGATCCCTGTGTCGGGCTCTGCGCTGACAGCCTGGAGCCTGGAGCCTGCGTCGGATTCTGTGTCTCCCTTGCTCTCTGCCCCTCCCCTGCACATGCTCTGTTTCTCTCTCTCTCAAAAATAAACATTAAAAAAAGTTAAAAAAAATTATACGAGATTCAAATCTTTAGTGTCCGTAAAGCTGCACTGAAATACAGTCGCAGTAGAAAACAGTTAAAATACTAAAAGCACCAATATGCTCACGTATCATCTATGACTGCTTTCACGCTACCACGGCAGCGTGAGTAGTTGTGACAAAGATTCAACCTCTGGTCTAGAGCAAAAGCAGCCTGGGTGCCCTTTCCATTCCTGTCCCCAGCACTGGAGTGAGGGAGCAGGAGCCTCTAGCAGAGGCTCAATGGTTTTTGTCCCCTTAGGGCCGCGGAGTGGCAGCTGGACCAGCCATCATGGAGTGGCCGGCTGCGGATCACTGCAAAAGGGCAGCTGGCCTACATCAAGCTGGAGGACAGGACCTCAGGTAAAGGCAAGGGAGGCCTTCCTGGGGCTGAGATGCCGCACCTCCTACTCTGTCAAGGGAGAGGCAGCCCGGCCCAGGCCGGGCCA